ATTTACTTATCCGTATGTCTAGCGTGTTTCATTTAAATTTTTAGGCTGTTATATTTTATAGCTTCTGCCTTGTGAATACCGATTCGTATCTAGAGGGTCTCATACAGTAATTAAGCCCAGTATCAAGAGTTAATTAACTGCCACAAACCGTATAAACTTATAGTGAGGTATATCTAAGCGAATTACTAAACGATTTCTTAGCTATCCAACCTATATATTCAACTGAATCTATTTTATCCACATACAAGGGCTTTTGCAATAGGTAAAAGACCTTCTTTTTCGACACTTGTAAAGAATGCGAATCTATCAAAGCAATTTATTAGCTTATGGAAGAATTATGCTGATCTTGATGAGTAAATAGGAAAGTAAATCATTGGAACGAAGAAGAGAGTCAACTTAGTTATGATCTGAGGGCATGCATTATCATCACAGATCAAGGCTGGAAAATATAGGAAAAATTGATTTAAGGCAGGCTGCGCAGGAGAATAAATTATTATCTGTTAATTATGCAAGTATATTTAAATGAAATACATCAGTGTTCGATAGCATGAAACCAAATAGGTTAGCAAGACATACTTATCAGCCCTTAAGAATATATAAGTCGATCTACAGATACGAATATGGGCACAATTATTGTATTCTTTTTGGGTTTGTATGTTTGGCTATTTAAAGCAATCCTATTTCTTTTCAAAGGTATGATACTATACTGATGGGATGCAAAATATAATCTTACCTGCCAACCATTCTCGATATCTTGTTCAAAAATTCCATAGTCATAACGAATGCCATATCCCGTTGCTGCTATCCCTTTATTAGCCATAGAGTCGAGGAAGCAGGCTGCTAGGCGACCCAGACCCCCATTCCCTAGACCGGCGTCAGGTTCACAAGTCTCTAATTCCTCCATGTTTAACCCAAGCTGAGGGAAATAATTTGTAAACATGTTGTGAGTTTTAACTTCAGTTTAAGTTGCTCTGCAGTATTTATAATAGCACATTAATATTATTTTGAACGTAAAACAAATTAATTAAACCTAATACGTAAATTTATTATCTGAATTTACTATAAAATTGGCATCAAATAAATAAAAACTCGAGAAAAGAGTAGTAAATTTTGAAATATACTCTGTTTTTTCAGTTAGCACATAAAGATTTGGCTCATATTTGTTTATATATTTATCAGATAATGAGGTATCCCAAAAAGTTTTTAATCCCAGGTTCATAAAAACTTGTTTCATTCTTGTTAGGGTTACCTTCATTTCGTATGAAAGTGTA